CTTATTGAAAATAGTGATACTTACTTTTATCATTATAGCTTGATTTGCAAAGGATTCAAAATTTTGCACTTCTTAATTGTTAGAAATAAACAAACAAACAAAAAAGCTTGGAACTATTAATAAATTCAGGAACTAAAATGAAGAATTTAAAATTTGGCATTTCTTAAATATTAGAAATAAGCTAAACAAAACTTCTAACTACTAACAAACTCTATGTCAAGAATTACTGCTATTTTGTCAAGTTAAAAGCTTTTATTCAGTTGAAAAAGCATATTAAGCAAAACTTAATTACAAACAAAATTACATGTTCACTGTGCCGAATCATACGATAGCAAGTGACTAATTTTGCGCATTTTTCATTGCCCAGTCGATTTCTGAGTTTAATATGAATGAGTCCAAAATTCGAGAAGATTCTGTCAATGGAAGCCTGTCATTGAGGATAACGATAACAAAAGGTTATTGCAATGTTGCAGGAAAACTCTAAAAGGATTTCCCAGGCTTTTTCATGTCTCATTTATGTGTAAAATATTGAAAACAAAAATGATAAGAAAAGTTTATTTTATGAGACTTTTTTTTTATGTGTGCATGTGTTTCTCAAAGCAAGATTTTATGAATGAAAGTAATCAGTCTTGACATTCTTCAGTAATGTAATATGCCAAACAAAGTAATGCTTGGAAATGTTGAAAATTTTGTTTAGTATCCTAATATTTTACTTCAAATAGTATGTTTTGATATAAACATATTGGGAAAATGCAGGAATCTGTTCTTAAATATCTTTTAACAACTTTTTTTGTAATTTTATTGCCCAAAAATTAATTAATTTTAAATTATAAGCAGTTAAACTCAAATAAAAATACAGTTTTACCAAAACTATGGGTTTTTGACAGAGGGGTTTTTGACATGACGGTTAAAACCATGGTAATAACCGGTAAAAACCGTCATGTGTCAAAAACCTGCCAACCCTGCTTTTTATGTATAAATTCCTGAACCAAATTTCTTGTTCAACAAAATTACTTAGTGAATTAAAAAATGTGTAAATGAATTTAATACATCATTTTTAATAGTTCCCTCGTTCATGAATATTCACTGAACTATTTTTTTTTTTGTATTGATTTTGCCCAATTCAAATATTTGTTCAAATACGTTTTCTAAATTTTTTACTTCAACTGTTATATAATGATTCAAAATGTAATTTAGAATGAAGTGCTTTTTACTTTAATCACATAAAAAAATGGAAATACACAATTCAATATTAACAGTTACTTAAGGATATTAATATTTTCTTTGTGGAAATATTAATTTGCTTGTCTTAGCCTCCAGTTTACTCTTATATTACTTTTCTATGATATTGCGAATAAAGTTTTTATCATTGCATATTATTAGTCTAATTGCTTAAATTATATTTTTCAAATTTCTTTAAATATTATATGCAGTTTAAATTTTGAAAAATTTCAGAATCAGACCTTAGCTGGTGTTATGGGTGTTGATATAGCTTTAAATCGATGGATAGACTTTGAACCATCCTATGAAGTAAGATTCCTTTACAATCTTGAAATTTTCTATACTTTTCTAATAGTGACAGGTTTAATGAAAATTGTTTAAATTTTCAGTTTAGGTGCAGACAACTCTGTATTACCTTTTTACAGAGCATGTTTTTTTCCCTCTCAAATGTAATATTAAAATTTCTTTGATGGGGATATTAACCACCATTTAAGTTCATGCATTAATTATATTTTATACTTTTTATTTCTTTAAAAATATTGCAAACTTAGCCTGGCTGTTCCAAAGACTTAGCAGAAGTATTATTATTTGATTTAGTAGCTTTTTCCATTATCTAATGCAAAGAGAAACTTTATTTATTGTTTGTGGGGTATCTAAAATGAATTAAATTCAAGACTATAAAGATGGAACAATAAAAGAGGACATAGTTAAGACTTTGAACAGTTACCATGCATTTCTCATGCATGGAGAGATGTAAGAGTGTGTTGTGTCATGTGAACTCCATAAATGCGTTTTCATGTTCTAAAATAAAATTTTAGGATCCAAAAATAAGGAGAAACTTCAAAGATTTCTTTTATTTATTCCATTTTATTTTCCATGAAGGCAGGGTTATATGATGTAGATTATTTAACTTATGTATATAGGCTCCTTTATCATATTTTTTATGAGTGTAAACTCTATTTATACTTCAAAGTTACAAAAAGAAAAAACCCAGGTCCACTTGCTAAAGGTCTATGTGCGTGGTCAACCCACTTGCTATAACAAAGTGTGTTCTCCCAAGCTAGCACACCATCAAAGTGCATTTAAATATAAAGGTCTTCAATTTTAAATTAAAAAAAGTATTGGTAATTTTTTTTTTTTTTAATTTTAAATAATGATGCATTCATCTATCAAATTATTCTTGAAAAAAACTCACTCTAGGTTATAGGAAGATTTTCTACGTTATACTTGGTCATAGTTAAATTAATAAGTTAATAAAATTGCCAAACTGAAAATTATTCCATCTATTCAAAGGTTTGATCTTTCCGAGATTAAAAATTAGAAGATGTTAAAGAATTAAACCAAAATTAAATGACTTATTTGAGTTTTGTTAACACTTAACTAAAAGTGTAATGTGTCAACATACTGTATTTGCAATTTACTATAAATTCTAAATGCACAGATAATCATATTTTTTCTTTCAAATTTTAAATTATAAAATTTGGTTAAGTGGCTTTTTAAATAATCAAATATGATAAAATGTTAAAGTGCTTTTATTTTTATATTATGAAAATAAATACTTGAACTTGTTTTCATATATTTACTTAAATAAATATATGAAATGACATTTTTGAAGATTTTTTTAAACCCTTTTTTTGTTTATTAATCATTAATTAATTTAGTGTTTCATATATTTTGGGATTTATGAACAGAAAAAAAAATAATGCATTTGAAGAAAAATACTTTTTATTATATAAAATAAGCATTTTTAATTAACTATCAAGATCTTTTTGGTAGTCTTTAACTGCTCTAATTAAGTTACAAAACTATAAAAAATACATTTATATGCTGCTATGCAATTGAGAAAACAACATAAGTTTCAAGAAAAGCAGCTTGACAACTATTTTTTTTCCTGACTAATGCTATTTACTCTAAAAACTATTTACTATTTTATAAATTACTATTTTAGAAAACTGATGAAAAATTGTTTTATGCTGCTGATGTTGATTTTTTTAAGGCACAAGGTTACAGATTTTTATTCAAACAATAGGATTTTAGTAGTTTCCTTTTGAAACAGAGGTGCTTAATTTTTTTGTGGCAATAACGCTTAACATTGAGCTGTTCAGACAACAATTTTCATTACGCTTAGAAATAGAAAAAAAAATAATGATAAGTGAAGATCTGAAATTAATTGTATATAAAAATAATTTTTGAAAAGTTTAAATTTATATGGAGTTATACATATCTATCTCATTGTTTATAAAGCATCAATACTTTATAATAAAAGACTGTGTGACTTTATTATCCGTGTAGAAGTTGATCCCCAGATTTCCTTAAAACTTTGAAAGTTTGAAAAATCAACTTATACACTGGGATATATGGTAGTCCACTTGTTAAACATTGTCATTTTGTTCATTTCTCAAATTTTTATTCGTGGATATTTTTGAAAGTTTTACTATCTAGCTACACCCTGGATGAATGTTAGTACCTTGGCTAGTATCAGTGATTATGTTTATCTTAACATAAATGTGCTTATGACTTATTTTAGATTGGACCTGCTGGCTATTCATTTGGAATTAATAACAATGGCCATGTAGTATTTCATCCTGATCTCAAAACAGATGTAAGTAACAAAATGTTTACTATGTCTGTTTAAATGTTTTGTGATGTTGTTTTTAGATTGGCCCTGCTGGTTATTCATTTGGGATAAATCACAATGGCCAAGTAGTATTTCATCCCGATTTGAAAACAGATGTAAGTTATAAGAAATAGCAATCTAAGATTTTGTTTATTGCATTTATTCTGGCTGTGATGAAGCTTTTGAACGGCAGCTATTTTTGTAATGTATTTTTTTCCTTATACTATTTGCTGAATAGCTTTTGTCATGATTTTTGTTTTTTTCTCTATGATTATCTTACGCTATTCTTATGTGATTTTTCTTATTTTAATATCTTAAAGGAAATATTGTTCATTTTTCCTATACTTGTTTCATTATATTCAATGCTGTATCAATTTTTATATTAGCTATATTGTCAGTTATCCAATACCCAACATTCAATCTTTTTTTTTTTATGTTTTTGCTGTAAAATTCCTTAACATTCTTGTAAGTGTTCTTGTGTAACATTGAGTTATCACCATTTGCCCCGTTTAACATTCTGAAAATATATACACATATTAAAACCTTAACTTTTAACTACATTTTTTAAGGAAAACTGTCCTGGCAATAATTTACTTCTCAAAAATTTTAAGAGCTCATGTTAGTTTATATATATATTGGGTTGTTCGGAAAGTAATTTCGTTTTTTTTTAAAGGAAATGAAAGACAATTTTCGTATAATGAATAAATATTTTATTAAATTATTTATTGGCCATTCCGGTCCAACTCCTTTTGCCATCTTTCTGGTAGTAGCGTGATTCCACGCTCATAAAATTTTTGGTCTTTGCTGGCAGAAAACTGATCCAGGTGATTTTTGAACTCTTCATTTGAAGTAAAGGTTTTACAGTCCAAAAAATTTTGTAGTGACCAAAACAAATAATAATCCGAAGGCGCCAGATCTCGAAAATATGGTGGGTGTGGCAGTGTATCCCATTCAAGCTGTAAAAGCTTTTGGCAAGTGGCCAAACTTGTATGAGGTCTCACATTATCTTGGTGGAACACTATACCTTTTCTGTTGATTAATTCTAACCTTTTCTGTTGAAGAGCATCATTCAGTTTGTCCAGCTGACGACAGTAGACTTCCTAATTAAGTGTTGTGTTATCCGGTAAAAGATCAGAAAAAAAAATATATTCCCTTAAAATCCTACCAAACAGACAGCATTACCTTTTTTTGATGGATATTGGCTTTCCAAATGCTTTGAGCCAGTTCATCTTTTTTGCTCCATGATCTCTTGCGTTTGACATTGTTATAGATAACCCATTTTTCGTCCCCAGTAATGATGCACTTCAAAAATGGATCATTTTCGTGACGTTTGTATTGTGAATCACGTGTCAACGCGACGACACAAATTTCTCTCTGTGAGAACATGGGGAACCCATGTATCTAGCTTCGAGGTTAAACCCAGGCCTTTCAAGTGGTCATAAACAGTTGAATTCGATAAATTTAACCTCTCGCCAATCTCCGTGCTGTTATTCGCCGATTTGTATCAACTAATGAATTTATCGTGTCCTTATCACCTTCAGCGGCCCTTCCAGAGCTTGGTGCATCTTTGACATCAAAATTGCCGGATCGAAATTTTACAAACAAATTCTGGCACTGACGTACTGTCAACACATCTTATTCATACACATCGGTAAATTTCTTTCTGGCACGAACAGCATTTTTACCTTTTCTGTAGTAAAAACTAAAATATGACAAAAATGCTGTTTATTGCTCTCCATATTTAAAAGGGCACCAACCAAAAACTACTGCTTAGAATTAATTGAACTTTTTCACACACAAGCCTTGCTATATCAACTCTCAAGACATATAATGATAATGCAGTTTAAGTGTGAAGATGGTTTCGAAAAAATACAATTAAATCCTCTGTCGGAAAAACAAAATTACTTTCCGAACAACCCGATATATATATATATAGGAGAGCAGCAGTTGATGTAGCAAATTTAGCATTACCCAGGGTGCACCAACGAGGAGGCTTGCTACATTACACCCCATGTATATATCATGGCTTTGATAATTATGCTATCTTATAGTTCTCTTTTTTTATTTTAATTTGGTCATAATTTGTTTGTCTGAAAATTTTGCTTTTAAATATCATCAAGTTGAAATGGAGAAAAAAAAAGTTTTATGTGAAATTTGAGGAGTTCCATTTTTTTTATATATATATATATAGTTGGTGAAGAAAGTTATTAATATTGTGATTAATAAATATTCCTTTTTGTTTCAATTTTTTCATTAGAAATTTAAATCTGCACAGTTCTGAACTATTTTATGCTATCAAAACCCCAATACTCTTCCGGTACTCCAAGTTTTCTTTCATGGTTTGAATATTGTTTAATGAAAAGTAGTAAAATGTTTATTGATAGAAGGAATAATGTCCGTAACAACAGGAATACTTGACATTTAATTTTTGCTGAAATATTTGTTACTTTTTTTTCTCCTATTTATTTATGTTTATTTCATTTTTTTAAACTTGCTTGATACAGACATTTGAAAAATGCATGTCTTGGAAGTAATTAGACTTTTACATGCAAGTAAAAATTTTAAAATATGAATGACTTTCATTTTTAATCTCTGCAAGTTTTTAAATATTGAAGTGAATAAAGCCACGTTTGCTTGCAGTTATAAGCTTTCTTGAGTTATTTTCCTCTTAATTTTTTTTTTTTTTTTACATTACAGAAATAATATGAATAAAATAAATTAAAAATTCATGCTGTATACTCCACTAATATAGTTCAAAAATTTTATTTCAGTTTGAATATATTGAAGATCCGGCCAATTTAGATTTTCTAGATGTTGAAATAAAAAACCCTGCCAAGGAAGAGGTAGGTTTATAATATTTAACAGTGTTTGTTTTGAATAAAAACAGTTTTTTTTTAATTAGTTTCGAAATCTTCATTTAATTAGTTTTCAAATTTTTTAATATTTGAATTTAAACTAAATCTATCTTTTTTTCAAATCTAAAACAATGTGTTCATACACTTTACGGGATTTTTTTTTTTTGCCTATCTTCGTTTTATTTATTGTTAATAATAATTTTTTTTTGTTTGTTTGGTCTAACCATTTTCAATTAGCATTATCTTTATTGTACAATTATTTATAATTATTCAATTATTTATAATTATTGTTTTAAGAAGAAAGTGTACCACTTTACAAGGTATTCTGTCATAAAGACCATTATATTGTATTTTTATTTATTTTTTTAAATTCTAAAATATTCAGTGAAACAGCCTTATTAGTAGCTTCCAAAAAATAAAAAATATATTATTAATTATTTATAATGCTTACCAATTAGAACAGCGGTATTAAAATCCTCAAAAAAACAAATTGACTAATTGGTATGATTTTTTTTTATTAGAACTCACTTTTACTTAAAATAATTAAGTTCTTCAAAGTTTTAACCCCTATTTTTCTCGAATCGACTTCAATAATAATAAGTCATAGTTTTATAAGGTGTATAGCCACTGAATACTTTTTAATTTTTTGTCATTTAGTATTTATATTTTATTGTGTGTGTAATTTATTATATTAAATGTAATTGATGTAATGTATTATTATTATAAAAAGTAATATTATAATTTTTTTTTTATCCTTTTGATAAACCTCAAATTATCAATATAATATTCGTTGTGTTTTGGAAACATAGTAAACTTTTTTGCTACATAGAATGAATAATCAATTATCTAATAAATCTGAATGAATAAATTATTTAGATTTAATCAAAAAAAAAATTTTCAAAATTAAAAAATTTGAACCAAAAGACTAATGTTTTTTTATCGTATAAGTTAGAGTTTAAATTTCAAAAAGTCTGAAAAAATTTTCGACTCCAATTCTGGTTTAAAATCAAGCCATTTAGGCTAAAATATATATAAAAAAATTATAAAAGTTTTTAATTTGAAGAAAATCAGTAAAACTATTAAAAAAAATTATCAATAAAAATATTACTCAAATGAATATTATGTCAAGTATTTAAATTATTACTTATCTTGGCTAAAATTGTACTTTAGCATCTTTGATGTTACTATATTTGACTGAACTATTAAAAAAAAACGCATGAAATTATTTAAACTATTGAAAAATCAATATTTTTAAGTGAATTATTACTAAGTTGTTAATAAAAGCCAAATCCGAAATTATTTAGCTAAGTTATTAAAAAAGAAATATCTGGTTGAATTTATAATTTTTATTCGTTTTCTAGCTATAAGCTATTATTACACGTAAATTTCTTTGTCATTAAACGTTTATACATGTGCGAGCGTGCATGTAAAGCTTTGATATCTAGCTTTTTTCGTACAATAGTCTTCCACAATTTCAATATTTGGTGCAGGTATCTTGTTGCAATTTAATTCTTTAACTATAATGTTATTATATTATGAAATGTTATTTAAATATAGTACCTTTTGCTCCAATTGTACATGAAAATGAACCATTTTTTATTTAAAGTTAACATTTACTCATTAATATTATTATTAGTTTATGGGATTTGATGGAAATTTAATTCATTATATAAGTCGGAGTTGAGCTCTCAAAAAAGTTTATAATTCGAGTTTGAGTCAAACGTTTTAACTACCAATTATATAGCTGTGTCATAAATCCAATTATTTTAAATTTTATCCATAGTTCAAAAGTTCTAAATGCTAATTTATATTCACCTGAAAAAATAGTTTTATAGTCTAATTTTGCTTTTTTTGTAGTTACGTAATGCTATGATTGATTTAAAATCTTCAAAGCGTTCTTTATCAAGTCTACTGAGAATGCCTGATGGGGTGTGTATGCTAATTTTATTTTTCTATATCTGCTGAATAAATATATGTATATAACTGCTGATGTGCTATATCTCTATAATTTTCCTGTACGATAATGAACAAGCGTAAACTAAATTATTTTCTTCTATTTCTAGAAACACATAGTAAGGCACCACATGGAATATTTTTACACACCGTTAAATGAAACAACATTTTCGTAAGTTAAATAATTCAATTTATCTCTTACCATTTTATTTTATTTGCTCAAAATATAATAACTTTCAAATGCAATAAATAAAATTTAACATTTGCTTTTAACTTTATAAAATGTGTTTAAATTTTGTTAATATTTTCTTACTTGATTTTTCTTTATTTATTTTTCCAACCAGTTAATTTTTCTGTTGTAGAATATTTTAAGATTCTTAATACATTTTTTTTGTGTGTATACCTTATATTTATTTATTTATTTTATCTGCAAGTACAAACACAACCTCTTGTTTACTTAAAATATGTGCTAAACTCTCCACTCTCTTGTTTAATAATACACTGAAACCACTAGCATGAAACTATTGAACAGTTTATAAATTTTTTAATATTTATTCCTAGTTTTAGATACTAAAGCGTTTTTTTTTTTTTTTTCAAAAACTAGAACCAGTTCCAAAACTTGTACATAAAATTTTATCTGTAATCTTTTTTAAGTTCAATTTTTAAGAATAGTAAGTGGTCTTAATTATTTAAATCAGTATGTTACATATATTTTATAAAAATATATTGTTAAAAGTTTTTCATAAATTGAAAACAATGTTTTCATAATTGATCTATTGACTAAATTTGTCTGTTAGAAATTAGGTTAAATTTACAATATATTGTTTAGCTGGCATGTTCTGTGAGCTTATTAAGTGAAGTTCAAAGCAATTTTAAGAACTCGTTTAAATAACTATTTTAATTAAAATTATGGTATTTGTATTTAGAATTGCAATTGTCATGCCAACTGATAGGACACATTATTTGCATATAGAAGATCAAGATCTAGAAGAAGGTATGCCTTGCTGTTTTTAAATTTATATAATCGTGCATTTATATATATTTCTCTTTCATTTGTTTGTTCCTTGGAGTTTTTCTGTCTGCTTTACAGTACAAATTAGTTTAAACTAGATACTTGCATTTTTATTGACAAGAAGTAATTTTTACATAGCATGTATAATTTTAAACCAAATTAATTGTGTTATTAATGTGCAAGTTAGGTAAAATCGGAATTTGAAAGAATGAGTAATCTGCCAGATTTTCCATAGCAAAACCTATCCGTGTAACAAATTCTCATGTACTGATCTGCAACGCAATTTAAGAAAAAAAAGTTAATTTATTTGCAAGACTTGTAGTGAAAAAAAAATTTTCAAATTTTGCACTTGGTAGATTCTCAAATTTTTAAAGACAATGTCTAGTACTACTATGCTTAAATTAACTTCATTATTTCAAAAGAAAGTAAAAATTGAAATGTTACTTTTTTTAAATTATATTTTAAAAAGTGAATAACTTTTTTTCAATTGCTATCTAAAAAAAATGTGTTTTACTTTTTTCTACAGCTGATAAAAAAATTTTTGATGACTAGAAATTTTGATTTAATTTTATTTTGAATTTAAATTTTGTGTTTTGTTTCATATTAAGATTTGATTGTATTAAAAAACTAAAATTTCACTCATTTTTGTGTACTGAATACCCTAATAACACCAGTTCATAAAAACCAAATGGAACTATCTTTACAATTTCCTTGTAACATCATCAGTAATTTGAACAATTTTCTTGTAAGATAGCTGTAACTTAATATTAAATTGCTCTTCTTAGCTTTTGCGTTGGATTATGAGAGAATTCTAATGTATTCTTAAATTATTAGGTTTCAACCTAAAAGAGAAGGAACTTCTTGGAATGCATCTTGCTCCTTGGTAAAGTAACTGCTTCTTTTTTTTTAAGCTTTATAAAGTTTGTCTTTGCTATAGCTGCATTAGACAAAGATAATTTTTGTTAGTTATAACTGACTAATATTGTGTTTCTGTTTTTGATAATTAAGCTGCGTAAAAATTCTAATTTAAAGTCAAATGCATACTGTATTCTTTAGTAAAGAGTTTATTAGTGTTCAGATATCGTCCATTTTAAGACTTAGTCTTAATACTTAAGGTTAGTCCTTAGTAAGAAAAAAAATTAGATATAAGTATCTCAGAATATCTATTTTGGATTAAGTTTTTTTTTTTTTTTTTTGTTATACTTAACTAAAATTAAATAGTGTGTGGCATAATGAATCAAACTTTTTTTTTTTTAATTAAGCCTTTAAAACTTTTTCTAAATGCAGCTTATTTAGATAAAAATTGATTTTTATGTAGTATTTTCTTTTTTGCATTATACAGCTGCATTATATTTTACATGTTTAAATTGTTTTGAACAAATAATTTGGTTATTTTTATGAAGCTTAACAACTTTGTAATAACTGTATCAGACGTTATCTAATTTGATTCAATGTCTGATGTTTGATACCTACCTGCTTATCCTCTTTGTGCTGAACTGGTCTGTGAAACCTCAAGGCTTTTACTGAAATTCCTTCTGCCTTTGACTAGAAACATCCTTACTCTCTGCTTTGTTAAAAAATTTCTTCACGCACCTTTGCTATTTTAGTCTTGTTCTCCGACTTTTTCTTTTTTCTGTCATTCAAATGTCCACATACTGATAATAACAGCATGGTTAGATTTATTTGCTCTCAATATGTGACCAAGCCTTCTTCATTTTTGTTTTATGGTTTTTCCAGTAATAGGTGGTATGCCATTTTTTTTAAAAGATCTTTATTTGATATGAGAGACCAGAAGATTCTTAGTATTACTTTTAAACATTTATTTTGAATTGTTTCCAGTTTTTGTTTTTACTGATAAACCATGTGTTAGTGGTTCTGATATTTTGGATATTGATTTAAATATTTTTTATTGTACTTTAAATTTTTAAATGCTGCTGTGTTAGACCATGTTGATTGTGATTAAATAATTTTATTTTTGATGAAGTCCACTAAAAATAGGAAACGTAAATTTAAATCAAGGGGTAAAAGAAAACTCTCTGAAATAAAACAAAAGGTCTGTTTTTTTTTGTTAAAATATTTTTTTTCTCCATTTTTATGAATCATTAAATTGACATTAAGTGTTGAAAGGTTTAGAGTTCTTATTTTTTATTACATTACTTAAGAGAACAATTTGTTTTACATATTTTTGTTAAATATTGTTTGTAATTATGTAATTTTAATATTAACACATTAGTAGCAGAAAGGAAAATTCAATTATTCTGCATCAATTCAATTTAAAAATGTGTTTATTTTCACACCGTGAATAAGTTTTCACAAATTAGTAAAGTAAAAATCAGTTCTTCTTAAGAACTATTAGGCATTGAAAATGGTTACAAAATATTATTTTCTCCGAATCAGCTTTTATGAATACGAACCGTTCTTCCCTGTGGTCCTCCTATGTCATCATTATATTTCTTCTATGTTTGTTTTAAAAAGAATTGCAGTTTTTTGTGTTCGTTTGTTTTCTCTTTTAAAGATACTTTTTAAATAAGAGTAAATTATTTAATTTTTTTTATGACTTTCAAACGTTTTCAATAATTCTTTTATATTCAGGACTTTTAAACAAAAACCTACCTATTGAAATTGTATACAATTAAATAAAATAAAAGAACAAACATATCTTTCTGAGATGTTATTTAACTTAGAATAAGCATTAAGATATGTTTTTAAGATCTATTATATTAAGGCTGATAAATATGAAAATTGAATGAATAATATTTTACAGGAAATATTGCAATAATTATGTACTGAAAATTAGCACTGGAGAAATTATTAGAAACTTATCCAAGACAGCCAGAAATAAGCCAGAATTGTGTAAGCTAAAGTTTTGAAATTTGAGCGTGTATTTGTTTTTCTCAAATAATGTCTGTATTTTATGTTCTCAAGTGTAATAATGTTGTTCTTTGTTTTAGTTAGTATGCTCTTTGAATAACTTTCAATTATTTATTCTTTGAGAGATATCAGTTAATTCATTTTATTTCATATTTCTTTATAATCAAGCAAAATAAGTTTCACTTAACAAGCATGTACATTTCCTCCAACAAGCAAGCTTATTTTTTATGAGCGTTAAAAAGCTAAAGCTATTTTCTTTGTTAAGTTTTGACTATTTAGGGAGAAAGAAAATTCTTTGTAAATTTTTGCTCTATCAACTAATTACATTTTGTAAATTGTTTGCAAATATGAAAATTTTGTAGCAAAGTTTTAGATAATATTTGGATATTTTACTATTATAAGGTACTTAAAGCTGTCAATTGTTATATTATAAATTAATTCATTGTTTTTTCTGGCAATCTTCATTCTAGATTAGTCAGTAAAAAATAAAACTAGTTACTCTGATTTACATTTGATCTAATTCTTCAAACAAATTTTAATTAAATGTTATGGTCTAATGTTTCTGGTATGTTATATTTTAACTATTGGTTTTAATGATTGTATGAAGAAAAATTTTTAAATTAACACACATAATTTTCTATTACATGGCAAAAAATTGCAAAAAAGAAACGTAATAAGGAGTTTGTGTGTATTTATGTTAGTTTAAAACAATATTTTTTTATTTCTTGTTTTGTATATCAGTTTTTTTATGAACAATCTGATAAGATTTTGCTGCTTTAATTTTTGCTAAAAATGTCTGTTATTTACAGGTAAAATGCAATTAATTAATCGGCTTGTATGGGATATTTTTCGAACAGATGACATTATGCATTACTGGAGAACAGAGCAAAAAGATAAAAAACGGTGATTTTTAGGCTTTTTTTCTCTCTTTTGATTAGTTTCTTAAACAGCTGCCAAATCCTCTTAAGTTTTTCCGTAAGGTCAGCTTAAGTTTTTAGTGTGTTTTTTTTTTTATATATTTCCCTATTTTAAAAGTGTTTTAATTCCTCAATTAAATTTTTTTTTTTTTTAATTTTGTAAAATCCTTTATCTGTCAAAAGTTTTTACAGTATGCACAAAAATTCTTCCCTCCCTTACATTTGTTTTTTTTTTTTTTTTTTTTTTTCTTTTTTTTTTCTTGTTATTTTTAGGNACCAAAAAAAAAAAAACTTTTGCCAAAATATATTACTTAGCAGATAAGGTGTTTAATTGCAGGAACTGAAAGAATATTTAGTTTTGTTGGATTATTTTCTAAGTAGACATCAAAAAATTGTTCACCCCCACAATAAGAGCACTGATTTGAACTATTTTCTATTTAATTTTTTAAAATTTTGGGCCTACTTTAAATTGCTTAATTTACTTTTTTTAAAGATTTGCTTGTTTAGAATTTTCTTGTTTCCCAAAAGCTATTAGACACTATAAGAATTGAAAGCAATACATGAAGAACAACGTTTCTAAGTATGTACAACTGTTATATAGTAATAAAAATAAATTGTTACTTGAGAACAGGATGAAAAAGGGAACTGGCTGTAACAAATCTCTTAGTAAGGGAATATATTCAATCAAATGACCTGTTATAATTCTTTTCACATGTTCTATTTTCTGACTCACTTCACTAAGGGGATTGATATTTGTGTACCTTTCAACTTTTACTTTTTCATGGGGGAATTTTTTTCTAAGTGGTACTTATCCTCCTATTTTGTCTAGTTTATTTATTTACTTGTGATGATCAGAATTATTTTAAATTAAATTAATATATCCAAGAATTAAATAGAAAGCATAAATTTTAATATAATAATAATGAAAATTACTGAATATTCATAAAATTTGATTGCTAAGCAGGGGTCTGTTTAGAAGAAATTTGGTCTGTTAACAGACCCTTCACAAAATATATTTTCATAAAAACGGATCCTTCACAAAATATTTTAACTTAAAAATGGACCCTCCACGAAATAATTTATCTTTTAATCGGATCCTTCACAAATTTATTTATCTTCATTATTGTTTTGTCAATAGAATAAACCCTTCCCAGGAAGGGGGGAGAGAAAGACAGCTGTAATGTAAACGAACTAAATTTTGTCTTCGGCAGACGCTTCTCCCTTTATTCGCCCGATATGAATATTCTGCGTTCAGCAGTATAGGCTAAATACCAAATATCTGTATGTTGCATCTCTAATTTAGGAACAGCAATTGCTGTTTATAATTTAAAATTTAATTTTTTTAATTATAATTTTACAATGTTGAGCATAATCTTGTATACTTGTACAATTTAAAAACTCTTTAAAAAAGTTTTTTTGCAATAACGAACCCTATTTGCAAAAATTCACAAAATCAGGACCCTTAATGAAAGAATGTGACTTACCGTTTATTTTATATTCACAAATTACGAGTAATTTTTTCACAATTTTACAAAAACGAAACTTTCACAAAATGTCTGAACAGACCCCTGCTAAGTTATAAGCTTTTACTATTTATTTATTTTATTTATTTATGCTTCTTAAGTTGCTTTAGTTTTAAAACTATCAGTACACATAAAACTATTCTAATTTAATAACAAAAAGTAAAATTATCTTTGAACAATGAAACATTTAATACTTCAAGTCTCTTTAATGACGGTTCAGTGAATGTTGCTGGACATGGGTTGTTACAACAAATAAATAGTAAAGTACCTATACTGACCAGAAATTGCGGTATTATAATAATCATTCATCCCTCTGACCAGTGGCCAATCGCCATGAAGGACTGCGAATGTTATCATGCGTATTTATACTATTTCTACTTTAGTTCCAACTCGCACATCCTTAAGTATACGCTTACATATTCAACACGCAAGATCTACATCTTTATAACAAAACAATTATTTTACATTTCGTTCAGTTGTTTTCAGGTAATTCAACAAAATGTATTCATTTAATTTTGAAGACCAGTGTTATTTCACTTTTACTTTTTTTTTAAAAAAATTTCAATGAAATATATTCTGAATTCTTATCCCTGCTGACAGCTGCTCATCAGCAACTCAGTCTAGATTATGCACGCTAGTATTACAATTAACAGTCCTCAATGTCCCCAAATGGCTTTCCCAATTAATCATATAATATGTATCATCCGACATATTATGCAACATTGGTGTGTATGGTGTAAAATATCTAAAGAAAAGCACTATATTCTGGAAAGCACAGTGTGTCTCCCTATACACAAATTTTCTTTCTTCAGCTCAATTGCACCTACTTTCTGGACAGTGCTGCATGCCATACTGCTTGCATTTTATGTATGTGTTTTATATAGCACAAGAATAAATTTACCATAATCTAACATAGAGCAAATCAAGAATCTGTAGAACCATGTTTATTGGGACGTATGGCCTGTAACGTTAATCTTTTCCTGCTCAGCCAAATTTTATCATTCTTGCTTTTGACAGATCTTCACATTGGTGTGACTAGACTGTTTCTTTAAAAAGCCTTTTAAAAAAATGGATTAAGTGATGTGTTTACATAACTTTCATGTGTCAAAATTTTACATAGGGTGGGTAAGTAAGAGCATATCACTATTGTAATTTTCTCGTAATTCTATAAATAGAAATTTTTCTTTAAAATTATTTTAGGGGGTGAAGGATTTTTTTTTAAGTGTCAAATGTTAATTCAAATTTAAAAGTTAATAAAACTCCAAAAGTTTTGAGTTTATTGAAGCAAATTAAGTTTTTGTAAAAGTAGAATAAAACTAAGTTTTGTTTGGGGTAATTGTAACAGTTTATTTTTGCAAAAATTAGTGAGGGAGTAAAGAATTTATCTGCATACTGTAAATAAATAAGTGTTTCTAAAACGTATGTAACTAGTTTAATTCTAAAATTTTTATTCAAAAATATTTTTAGTCATTCAACCAAACGTTGGAAGTCGAAACATTGGAAGCTGTACCAAAAATTTCATTTAACGCAGTCTGTATTTTTTTTTTAATTTTTATTTATTTATGGTTAGTTTTTTTCGGTTTACTGTAACTGGATTTTTTTTTTTATTTCAGAAATAAAGTGAGAGGTACTTTTGTCCAAACAGAAGGAGGTCTCACAAGAATTTACCCTCCCAGGTGGGTAAAATATTTCATCTAGTTTTTAAGTACCCTGGAAAGCTGCAAACACTTAATGAAAGCTATTAAAAATTAAGCCTCAACTATTATAAAAACCCTCAATTTTTTTTCAGATGTTGGTCCTTTTATGGTTATTTAGAAGATAATCTACGAAATTCTAGTAGCTAATGTTTTTATTTCTTCACCCGATTCTACCAAATATCATTCAGAATTTTTAAAAATTGTTTACATATTTTAAAAATCTGGATGAAATTTTTTATTTTATTAACATTGAATAGAAAATAATGACTACATTTTTTTACTAATTAAGAAAATTGTGTAAGACTAATTGTTTTCCTTCTGGAAAATATGCCTTATATTATACTGATCTTTAAAGAACATTCCAGCTTAATCTTTGGCAAAATTTGCTTCTCATTGTTGAGATTGTAAAAATTAATTATTTCAACAATTAAATTTGAAAATAAACCTATAAATGAATTTACTACTTATGAAACACTTATTCCATTAATGAGACATGATGAAAGTAACTATCAATTAGAAGCCATTTCTTCTGTCCGTGTAAATTTTATTTTAAAAATCGTTTCACTAAACTTTGACTTTGTTATTGAGATCTTAATTATTTTAATGAAAATAGATTAGATTGAATGATTAATTCTAACCATAATTCAAATTAAGTATTTAATATAATTTAATTTTTTATGATGAATTTTCTTTTCTTTTTAAATGCAACTTTCTGACTTATTTTTGTATAAAAAAGTTCTCTACTCAACTTACTATTACACTTACAGCTTGAAAAATTGGAACGTTGCCATTCAAAGTTTACTGAATTACTATGTGTACAATGAGTGGATGGATATTAATTGTTGTGTGTATATGTGGCATAACTACCACTACAAATATTAAAATCCCCTCATATATATTTTATTTTTAGTGCCAGTGATTACTTGAGGGACCAATTCAATCCATCCAGATCTTTGGTATTTCAAAGAGCATTTTATGGTGATGATTATGTTCTCCTGCCTCCAGAACCTGAATGTAAGTATTTGATAATTCATTATTGGTCAGATTATTAACTGTTAACACCTTTTTGTCATGTTTGTATTTAAATATTGTAACCATTTATTTGCTGAAACATATTTTTCAACATTGAACATTAACAAGCACATCAAAAAATTTTATGTCTGCCAAAATAATCAAAACTGCAAATAGATTACAATTAAGTTTATGTATTTGTTAGTGCCCCAACACCAGGCGTTACAGTAAAAAAGACAATTCTCTTCTTTTTTTTTATTTACCTAAAATAAGTATCAAAGATACCACCGAGTCAATGATGAGTTTTATTGATTTTTTTAACTTGTGATTATGAAACATGTTTAAAAATACAATTATATTCAAAAATGCACCTCAACAATTTTATTTTTAAATTCAAAACTATGAGACCATTGAGCTTTTCATGGCACATAAAACGATTTTATGTAATTATTTTATTTATATGTTTGTCTTTATTTAAATAATATATATTCTGTGTGTTAAACATATTTTTCTGTGTATTATATTTTCTGATATAGATGATGTGTCTGCTAATCAGACTGATGCTGTTGTTACTATTGTGAAAACTATTTCCTTTGCCCGCAGTGGCATTACCTATAAACCTGCTGGTAATTTTATTTTTATCTTTTGTTATTTAGCTGTTACTTTGAACAGTTTACTTTTAATTTAAACTAGTATTTGTATTTATCTAATTTTAGAAGCAATAATCAGTAAAACTTGTTGTTGTTTTTTCTTCTCTACGAGAGCATAGATCTTTTTCTAGCATATCTGAAAATGTGTTAACTTAAATGTCAATTTGAAAACTTTTTTTTATTAAGTCTAAAAATGTATTAATTGATATTGTATAGTTGTTGGTGTCATGGTGGATCCCTTGTGGCTTCAACCCTATCTCCTATCTTCTGGTGCTGGTATACCATATAGTTGTGATGATATAGTAAGTTTGACTAGTTTCTATGTTCTTCATTCATTATAACTCTGTAACGGTACTTTCCTATCTATAAGTTGATATGATGTATTAGTTCAGTCCCTATTTTACATTTATTGCTTGTACTCCTGTATTCACATTTGGTGGGGGGAAAAATTTGTTTAATATGCAAAAATAATTTTTGTATATGAAATATGGAAAAATAATTTTTAATAATAATTAATTATACAAACAATTTCTATTTTTACTACTGCCTTTTTTATTTTTTTTAAAAAAAGAAGCATAGTTTAAATATCTGCTATCATACTATTTATGAAGTGTCTTTAACTAACGCAGATCCCTACTTGAAAGATGTGTGGTATGGTGTAAAAAGTCTTTTGTTTTATCAATATTTTGATTGATACAGAAAAAATTATCTTCCTGCCTAAATTTATTTTTAGTGTTTAAAATCTAGCTTCAAGCTTTCATTGCAATTTAGGAGTTCAAAATTGGGATGTAACGAATTTTTCGTCCTAATATTCAGCAAAGTATTTTTTTGCCAAAAAATTTTTTGGGGAGTAATTTGAATAGATTTAATTAAGAATAATCTAAGATCGTTTTTTTTACTATACAATATTAGAAATAGTTTTTACACATATTTGTTTAGTTCCGAAACTTGTTGTGTTCTAGAAGACAAATGGAAAAGTGAAACTTGAATTGAAACAATATTACTTTATACTGAACCATAAGTTTTGTACTGTTGATTTTTTCTAAATTATGTTCAGGCAAGTCCATCATTTTTTCAACACTCTTTTTTTTATGAAGAACTTTGAGAACTTTTTTTTTTTTTTGTTCTTTTTGCTTTTTTTCTGTTTCAATTATAGTGCACCATTTTAAGCATTTCTTATAGACTTTACTCTTTTATTGTCACTTTTTTCCTGTGCAGTAAGACAGGTAACCTAGAAAAGTGTTAAGTTACATTTTAGAGATAAGAACAATTTTTTTGTCTGTTTTTATCAGCTTTTTTTTATCTGTATTTTTATTATGACGCAGCATTTTTTAAAGAGCCTTTCTAATGAACTTTATTGATTTATGATCACTTTTTTCTAAAACTACGACAATGTGAAAAAGTTAAATTGAGATTTTTAACATCTAAATTTTTTATTTAAACATAAAGAACAATTTTATAAATGTTTTTATTATGACGCGACAATTAAGAAGGTTTCTATTATACTTTACTCTTCATTTTTTCTTGAAAATACAGTCATTAGAAAACTGAGATGTTTAGCTTTAAAATTTTCTTTCAAGAATTTAGATTAATTTTTATTTTTTGAATTATTATTATCATTTGTTTTTTTGAGATGTTTAGCTTTAAAATTTTCTTTCAAGAATTTAGATTAATTTTTATTTTTTGAATTATTATTATCATTTGTTTTTTTGAGATGTTTAGCTTTAAAATTTTCTTTCAAGAATTTAGATTAATTTTTATTTTTATAATTATTNTGTTTTTTTTTTTTTTTTGCTTTTATATATTAATATTTTTTGTGGGCATTTCAATGATAGCGCTGCATTTTTAAAAGAGTTTCTGATAGACTAAATCTCTATTAGTGTTCCGTAGCTCATTTTTTTACGGGAAATATTTTTAGCATTAAAATTTTGTTTTGATAATTAAGTGGATATTTTCTTCTATTTCTCTTTTCCTTTCTTTCTACTTTACAACTTTAAATTTTTATAATAGCTACTCAGTTTTTTATTTATGTAAAATATTTCTAATTATATTAACGTCTAATTGCTTTTATTATCCTAAATGTTTCTATTATAGTTTTTTTATCCCCTTTACCTCATACAAATAACATAGCTAAGTTTTAAATATTTTTAATAATGGCTAAACTTATTTAAATATATAACTATTTATACTTCTTTTTATCTATATGAAAATTCATTAATAATTATTTTTTTAAAAAAAATGTTGCTATTTGACTGCTGAATATCCAGTATTTGGCCATTATCGCTATTCGTTACATCCCTTGTTCCAAAAGTCAACTTAGACACCAAAAAATGCAAGAGTTACTTAGACTTTTTTTTAAACATAAAAAACTTTGCAGAAAGCTTTTCACCCTGCTTTGTTAATAAATTGTATGACTTATTTAAAAAATAATAATAACCTCTGAATCAATTATTTTTTATTTTTCTAGGACAATATTGTATGTTATATTATTGATGATGGAGCTTTTATCATCACAACAAATCAACCTGATATTTTGAACGTGGTAAATATTACATTATAAGTTGTATTTGATTAATAGGAATTATACATTAAAAATGTTGTCTTGTGGTGTGGGGCTAGCTGAATAAAGGGTCCAAGCTAGGGTAAAGCAGGGTTGGCAGGTTTTTGACATGTGACAGTTTTTGACAGTTTAAACCATGGTTTAAACCGTCACGTCAAAAACCTCACTGTCAAAAATGTCGAAAATGTCAAAAACCTATATTCATATGTGAAATTTAATTAATACATAAAATTTATATATTTTTTANTGAATAAAGGGTAGAGAAATTATTTTATTTAAAAATAAATACCCACAGCACAAAATTTACAATGCGGGTCTAGCTGAATAAAGGGTAGAGAAATTATTTTATTTAAAAATAAATACCCACAGCAGAAAATTTACAATGCGGGTCTAGCTGAATAAAGGGTAGAGAAATTATTTTATTTAAAAATAAATACCCACAGCACAAAATTTACAATGCTGGTCTAGCTGAATAAAGGGTAGAGAAATTATTTTATTTAAAAATAAATACCCACAGCAGAAAATTTACAATGCGGGTCTAGCTGAATAAAGGGTAAAGAAATTATTTTATTTAAAAATAAATACCCACAGCACAAATTTTGTTTGCAATTAACAAAATAAGAAAGGGAAGGTGGTGCATAAGTAATGAAATATTAGTCTCAACTGCTGAGTTCAGGAAACTGATGATAGATGGCATTGTAGGTGGAGGTTACACTCTTAAAAATAAAAAAAGTAAACAACAGAAAGATAGGACAAAAATTTTTGAAAGATTAATTAGAAATGTTTTAATTAATATTATTTATTTATTATTATCTAATTTTTAACGATACAGAAATAAGTTAGGTAAATTTCGTTTAAAGAATAGTTTAATTATTTTTTTAAATCTGTTTGCTATGCATATTACTCTAATCAATGATTATAAAACAGAAATCAGGCTTTTCAAATTTCTGAGTTTGGCAAGTTTGAGTCATTTCTCAAAATAACAAAAAAAACTCAGGTTTTTTTTTTAGCAATCATATATTTCTGATTTTCTTAGTAAAATAAATTTGGAGAGAATTGTTAATATAGAAATTCATTCTAATGGTATTTGTCGTAGCAAATTACTATTTGTTTCAATCATGGATCTACAAAACTTCGATGAGCCAGAATTAATTTTTGTGAGCAAAAACCTTATCTAAAAATAAATGAAGCAATCATTTTACAATTATATGCACAGTCAAGCCAATACATACATTGACTCTGCAAAAAAAAATGTACAAATATTAAGATTTCCGGGTTTAACAACAAAGATATTAGGTATCATCTGTGATATTTTAGGTTTGTGGCAATCAGGATGCATAAGATTTATAGATTCATGATTTTAATTATAAATTCATATTTTAGACATTTGTTTACACAATGAATAAAAAAAAAATCTGTATTTAATTTTCTACTTTTTGAACTAATTAGAATTAATAAATTATACTTTTGTTAAAATTGTTTGTCTATAACTGTGTACCCAAAATGATATTTTCACTTGTTATTATTAACTTTTTTTTTTAATCTTATGTATAAAATGTTGTACTTTGATTTCTTTATTTGTTCTTTAATGATTTATCAATACCAACACGATATCTGACCTTATTTTGGAATTTTATATTGTTAAATTATTAGTTCTGATACCATATATTTCTATATCCAAAAATATTTCTACAGAAATCACAACTATAATATCAACTAAAAATTCTACAAATTATTCTACTATAATTTCCCTTTAAATTTAATGATATCCTATAATCGTTTCACTTTCTATTTAGGTCAATTAGAAAAAAACATTTATACTGCTTAGCCAAAATTCATATTCACATGATTTAAAACTACACATGGCAATTCATATTTACATGGTTTTAAAATTACGCACCAAGATTTGCATGAGCACAATTTAAATACCTCACATTGTGGTTCTTATTTTTGTAATTCAAAAATCTCACATCATGATCTGTATTTACGTGATTTAAAAAATTACAAATTGAGATTCATATTCATACCTTGAAAAAATCATGCATCGGTATTTTTTATTATAACCTTTATAATAAGAAATATCGGTGCGTGATTTAATATTTTATGGATATATGCTTCATTTATAGACTTTACTAGATCAAATTTCAGATATTTTTGTTAATTATTTTAAGTGTGTTTTGCACATAACATTTTTGAATTTCCATTTCCAGAATTTTTTTTTTTTTTTCAAAATCATCTCTTCTTTTACAAATAAAATAAAAGCATTCAATGGAGAAGCAATAAGTGCTATCAAAAATAATTTAAGAGAAGAATATGAAGTTATTTTATTAATCTCATATTGGAAAAAAATTTTTGTTTTTTGTAAGAATATTGTTTACATGTATATGTGCCATGTATTTTGCTAAATTGAAATTTAAACTCTTTTAAACGTAATATACTCATAAGTAGATTAATAAATTTATTTATGAAAAAAAAATTTGCATTCTGTATTATTGTAAACAATTTTAAGTGTATGTAAATTTTTGATAGATGGGAAAGTTTCTCGGTACTATTGATGCAGAAATCATGTTAGAACTGTATGAAAAGAAGATTTATGAAAGGTATACTGAATATTTTTGAATATAAATTATTACATTTTTAGTTAAACATGTTTATTAATTTTAAATCTACTAAGTAAATTAAATTTTTACTAAAAATCACATTTTTTTGTTATTAACTAAATATTATTTATATATATATATTGACTGGCCTATAAATTGAATTTTCATTAATTTAGTTTCTAAGCTTTGTTGGATAAGTAAGTTCCTAAGTTTTTGATCAAAATTTAAAACATCATTTGATTTAATGGAATTTAAGAATTTTTGTCTAATTTGACTAATTGATCTGTCAAATGCTTTATTTATCAGTAATTTTATTATTTAATGTAATTTTATATATTTATGCATACATTTAATGGAGTATAATCAAGTTTTTATTATCTAAACATCTGACATTTTATATCATCTGACATTAATTTGTTGACTCTGTAAAAAAAGTTAATTATATCTTTTTCTTAAAAAACAATATTACACAAATCTAGGAATGAAGATTTTAATTATGAAGATCGTTGTAAAAAAGAAGTTAAAGTTAGTGCTGGATTTAGAATATCTCCCATTGTAAGTCAGTTTTTTCTAAACATTTTTTTTTTTTTACTTCAAGATGTACTTTATTATAAGTTTTAGTACTTTTTTTTTTACAGCCCTTCCATTCTACATTTGCTGCTTTAGATTTTGCTTGGGTTTTTGATTATGCTGCCTGGTAAGTTTTTAACCATTTCTACTTTTACATCAATATTATCTTTTGTAATAATCATTATCAGCAATAAATTAATTATCATTATTTATTTCATTAAATTATATTAGATTTGTTATTCAACTTTTACAGGCATAAGTTATCATTTACCAAAATTTAATGAACAAATATTAATCTCAGATTACATTTTGTGATGAAACCATGATATAAATCTTAAAATTCCTTATAGTTTAGCTTTCTCCCGAAATAATTCTCTGCTTGTTTTTTCCAATTTTGAGAAAATTACATTTTGTGAAAATTAATTTTTAAATTTAGGTATGAAATCAGATTTTTTTTTTCTTTACCTCTCATGAAGCTCTAAATCTTCTTTGTTTTTAAGTGTTTTTTTTTAATTGAAAAATATGTAATGTTTTTTACTTTTCTACAGGTCATATTTAAAGTATTGGTTTCTTAGGTATGTGGTTTTTATATTGTTACACTTTTTTTACTGTCCAATTATAATTAAAAATCTATTTATCGGTTTGAAATTCTCTTTAGTTTATTTTCGTTTTGGAAACTTCCAAGATCTGAAGCTTTGCCTGAGTTTTATGAGCTTGCGAACGAGACAACTTGTAATACACATGAAGCTCAATACTACTGGGGTAGATGGGGTAGAAGCAACAGTGGTGACATCTTCTGCAATAACTGCACAAGGTGACGTTCTGCAAATATATTTATTATATACATCACAAATTATTGTAATGCTTACTATAATTTGCATAAGCATGTAATACTTACTGTCTACAATTATGATTTTCATAATTGTAGACTTTGAAAGCATGTGACTCAATAAAAAAGTCAAGCAGTTCAGATAGTTTTTTTTAAATAATTCTTGGTATTATTTACGTTTTCTCTATTTCTCAGAACTTTTATGCTTTTAAAACATTTTTAAAAATTAAAATCTGATGTTACAACTGTAGTGATATGTCTGTATCAGCAATTTTTTTAATTGTTGGAAAATAATTTTAAATTTCTTAAAATTGGATTTTTGTAAATTGGATTAATTGTAAATGACACCAAAAGTTATTTTGTTAAGAATTATCTGAGCCGCTTGATTTCTGTTTAACCGATTATCGTATGCATTTCAATCCTGCAAATATGATGTTTGTTAATGATGGAATTACCCTATTATAATTTCTTTTATGTTACAATCTTACAACTTTTATGAGACAATTGGAAATATTGTGCCAGTCATTTCCCATTATCTTAAGGTAAAATGGCCTTATTAAACCTTTGTGTACTGGCAGGACTTATAAGTTCCACTTATGTTATTCCCATAACAGAACACAATATCCCATACCCTGTAATATCACTTTTCTATTTATCATTATTAGTTGAGAGCACAGGCCAGGATAGTGTGGTTGGCAGGACGCTGGACACTTGTTCTTGAGAACAGAAGTTCAAATCCAGCTGACCAAAAGCTTCCCGTGCAGTAAATGGTGACTTATGCATGTTAAATGTGTCGGTCACTGGATGGCGCCACTGAAAAACAAAAACAATCGCTCTCCTTTTTCCTTAATGGCCGACGACAACAACAGTTGATAACACTAAATTTTTTTAAAATTTATCATCATCTATTGAACTATGTAGTTGTTGATATTTCATTTGTGGACACAATTTTATGATTCCTCAATTTCATTACTCAATTCGCAGCTTTCTATCTCTATTAATTTTGCAAGCATGTCCTTTATAATTTTTTATTGATTCATTAACATTTTCAACTAGTTATAAGACAAAGTATTTGATGCTTAGCTTTAGTTAAAATTTTATAATGTAGTGTAAGTCACAAATTAAAAACTTTATGAAAAATGTTAAAAGAAATATTACATGTTAATAAAAATATGTAAAATAGACATTTTTAATGGAAGCAAATAGTTTTTCACATTTTTGATTATTTTTTTAATAGTTTGGTAACTAAAAGGTAAATGTTTCATTTACTTTATGAATGATCTACGAAAATCAATTCATAATCTTAAAATAAAATCATTTCAAAGGTGGATTTTTTTGTTTAATTACTTTTCTGCAATTGGGAAGGTTCTGTCTAGGTACTATGTTACAAAAAAAATATTATTCAGGGTGGCCACCCACCTGGAAAACCTGGAATTATCAGGGAATTTTTTTATACTGAATAAAAACCTGGAAAAATCAGGGAATTTTAAAGAAAAGCTGGAAATTTTTGCTCTGATAATTTTTTTTAATTTCACTATTTTAAATTATTTACTAATTTTCTCAATTTAAATTACTTCATCCATTATACCCACTTTTTTTAGACAGAAATGTATCGCCAAACAGTTGAAATATCATCAACTAAGCGATACTTTGTTTGCATCAAAATTTGCTTCATTACAGCTCTGTCAAACTAGAATGCCACATAAAATTTTTCCACGGTTGCTAAACGAATGTAGAAACGTTTGACCGCTATGGGACTGTATAATTTAGGACAGACTCTGGTGGAGGTGGAAGAAGGGATTAGGATATTAGCTTCTGTTTTTAAATTCTGTCCTTGGATTGAAACCAATTATGGCTAAAGTTTGTTCCGACCTTTTGGTGGTAATTTTTTTCTATTTTGACAAAATGTTATTGTATTTTTAACTTCATTAAATTTTCCAAAAATTAGTTGGTTTTAATTTAATAATAGATTTTATATTGCGCTCTTTTTCTGAAAGCTTTTGTACTCCCATTCAAAGAAAATTGTAAATTATTTTTTCTCAGCAAACCAACCAATCACACATTTTTTTACAATCGCTAACAGCAATGTTTGTCGACAAATTGTTACAATTGTTCCATTAATACTAATTTTTTCTATTTCATTTTAACCTTTTATAACATATTTTAATTTTTTTTTAAAAAGGTTTTTTTAAGAACTAACTATATATTAATATTTAATTTTACTCTTTTGTTGGTCAATATATGATTTTTGATTCAAAATTTTGTACCAAAAGATTAAAAAATAAGTAATAAAAACCTTGCCAAATTGTCAAAATAAATTATTTTTTTCAAGATGATATGTAAAAAAATAACATTTTGAATAAAATATTTTATAATCTAGACACTTTTCTAGTACACATCCTTCACTTTATAAGAAAAAAGAAACAAAAACCTGGAAATTTTAAAATTTTTATCTGGAAAACCTGGAAAAATCAGGGAAATTTGAAATCTGATTTGAGTGGCCAACCTGTTATTCTATCAGTCTTTAAAACCTGTTACTTTAATTTTAAGTATACATATTTATGACATGTATATTTATGACAATGTTTCTCGCCTTTAGACATTATTCTCTGGCTAAAGTTGGACAGATGAATGCTGTACTTATTGTGTCAACAAAGCCTTGTGCTCCTCTCTACTGTGATTATGTCCCGCCATTACTACAAGCCAAGGAAGAAGGTAACAAAGTCTATCTCATATTTATAATTTAAATGCAGTTTAATTTCATTCAGGCAAACTTATATTCCTTTAAGTGGTATTTTTTAAATAAAATTTTTCTTTAGTAAATGAATTGTTAATTTACATTTAAATCAGTGTAGTTATTGTTACCAGTGATGGGCATCATTCACGGAAATTTTATTCATAGCTAAATTTAGTCAGAGTAAATTTATTCTGAATGATTATTCATATGCAAATTTAGTTATTATTCATCATTCATTATGCAAATTTGAATAATGATTGATGAATAAATTTATTAGTCATGGATAATTTTTTCTGATTAAAATCTTGCATAATCAGTGAAAAATGAAAGCATTATGTCATTTTCATTGCAAGTTGTGCATCCATTACAGTAATCACAGTGACAAATAATTGTTATTTCTCATTGCAAGCGGTTATGATTATTTATAATCACAATAAAAAGTGATTACAGATAATCAGATTTACAAATAGTCAAGCCCTGGCATTGTAAGTAATCGTGACTTAATGTAATCATAAAGTAAGATTGCAAGAAATCATAACTACATGTTATCATAATCTAACAATTACAGGTAATCTTAAATTGTTATTGTGATATATATAATTACAACACGATTAGATTTAATCATAATTTCAAATAGACTTGATTACATTGAATTAGGGATTGTAGGTAATTGTATACCTTTAAAACAATGCATAAATTGTATTTGTAAATCAATTGTTTAGTTTACTATTGTTTGGTTTATTAAATGAGAACTTTTAACCACAGAAATAACTTACGAAAATATGCACATAAATATACGAATAAGATTACATGCTATTGGTCGGAGTTGCAAATTATTTTGAGTACATGTTAAAATATGCACGCAAAGCATGTAAGTTTGTATGTATGTAGATGTATATATGTATACGTAGCATACGAACAATTGCTCATACATGGATATATTTTAAACTCATACAATATTTGTACATAAACATGTACATGTACCTATGTATGCATATCAATCAGTCAATTAGAGTATTCTGTGCCCATTATTTCTGTTGAGCATTGAAATTATTCACTTATTCTTGACTGATGAATAAAGAATGATGATTGAAAATAATGAATGATTTATTCTTTATTCAAAATATTTCTAACTAATAAATAAATCTTTATTCATTATTCAGGAAGATTTTCAATAATTATTCATTATTCTTTAGTTATTATTCTGAATGACAAATGGCATTTTTGGCGAATCAATTCAACAAAATAAATTTTTAAGCTCAAGTAGTAAAAAAAAACAATCTCTGAACAGGCCACCCCATTAGATATGTTGCACATACCAAAGTTTAATGTTTTAAATTATAAACACCACATTGTATCTCAGCAAAATTATGGTTATATTAAACTTAAGGTATCACACAAAATATGTTTTGTGTCTAAGCTTAGAAATGTTACTGTTGTTATGTATTTATATTAAAAAATTTTTGCTAACTAGCGTTTTATTTGTTTCTAGTGCTTAATACTGAAAATATAAATTTTATGTANAAGTTTAATGTTTTAAATTATAAACACCACATTGTATCTCAGCAAAATTATGGTTATATTAAACTTAAGGTATCACACAAAATATGTTTTAATATATATATATTATATATAATATGCTTAAAATATGCTTAGAAATGTTACTGTTGTTATGTATTTATATTAAAATTTTTTTGCTAACTAGCGTTTTATTTGTTTTTAGTGCTTAATACTGAAAATAGTTCTTGTGATCGTCCTTTGAGGTATCGAAGGAGAATAGACAGATGTTTTTCCTTCAGTCAAGATGTAAGTATTTGCAATCTTTCCAACCTTATTTTACCATGAAACATAAAGTTTATGCAGGGGTGAGATTTTTCCGCTTTTTAGCAGGTTATCCCTTTTGTCTCTCGAATTTCAGCCTTTGTATCAAAAACTCCGATTCTCTAAAAGTTTTATTTTTTATATATATATATATAAATATTCAGTCACTGAAATTAAATATTCCGATTTTGAAAGGTAAACAAAAAATTCCAACTACGTCGTAACAGCTAACCCTTCTGCATTTTTACTTATTTTCGCTATTTTCTCCACTTTTACCCGCAGAAAATAAGATTTTCCGTATTTTTACCCGTCCACTAGATAGCTAATATTTTCGTAATTCAGAGGTCCCTGCACCCTGTTTGCTGGTGCAAAAGCAAACGAAATAAAAAAAAATGGTGGTGGATTTGCAGTGAAAATATTTATTTGCTCATTCAATTAATCTTGTAAAATTTTATTTATTATATCTAAGAAAAAAACAATATAAACAAGCCTTTTAGAAATCCCAAGCCCAGAATCTGCTAATATCTCGATTCTTATTCAAGCGATTTTAGTATCAAACACTGACAAAGATGCACATTGGATTGTTATTCACGCGATTTAAATATCGTACATTGCGATTCTTATTTACAAAGTTTACAAATCCAATATCGCGATTTGTATTTACGCGTTTTTTAAACCCTATAGAGCCATTCGTATTCATGCGAGTTTATAATCCAATGTCATGATTGGTTTATGCGATTGTAATATCAAACCTCGATTTTCGTATTTATTCATGATTTAAAAATTTGACATTGGGATTTGTATTCACATGATTTAAAAATTATGCATCTGGATTCGTATTTACGCGATCTAAAAATTACTCATCATGATTTGTATTTTCGCATTTTTTGTATTCGATATAGAGTTTTATATTCACGTGATTTAAAAGCCACATATTGGGATTCATATTCTCTCAATTTAAAATCAAATATTGCAATACTTATTCACACGATTTTAAAATCATGCATGTGATTCATATTCATACAGTTTTAAATTTAATCATTGGTATTTATAATCACATGGTTTAAAAATCACACTTTTTTTGTCAAATGTTTGGATGTCCATAGCTTCTACTTATACATATATGTATATTTATCCTTGCATTCCCTCTGTTAGACTTTCTGACTACTCTCATTCCTGTTTATAGTATGAAGAAAAGTATCATCAATGTCTATGATGATATACATAAAGTAATTGTTATTTCTTGATGAAAGTTGTTCCAAGAATTTCATTTTGATGTTCAGGTAACTGATGGACCAGATAACAGGTTTTCAACATGCTAAGTATCATAAACAGAGGGTTAAATTGTTTTAAAATTTAAAGCTGTGTATCAAACTGAAGAATAGAATTGTTGATAAATTAATAGACTGTTTAATATAACTGCTTAATAGTACTCCTTTGCGTTAGTCAATATTAGTTAACCAAATTTCTTTTGCATTCACCATGTAAATCAAATACTGCTCTTTTTTAAAATTATATATAACTTATATTAAAGCACTCTAAAGTGTTTAAAGAAAATTTCTTCTTAAAGAAGTAAGCTACTTCACAAAAAGGAGAAAAAATCTAAGAGTTTAAACAGGGTGCCCAATTTATGATTTTTAGATATTCATTCTTGAAACTGCTGGAAAGTCTGAATAGTAATTTAAAAAATGCGATTGAGGAACCAAATATTTTCTAGGAAATTCACAATAATTTTAATTTACAATTTTAACTTTTAGTAATCTTGGAGTATTAGCAGTTACGCTTATATTGGGATTAAGTTTTATGTTATTAGATAGATTTTATAATTATCCAGCATACTTAGTTTGTTTTTTAAACTTCATCTGTAAACCAAAATGTAACAGTAAGTCAAATTGGAATACTTTTTACCAATAGAGCAGAATATATTGATTGTGTAATTGAGGTTTAGGAGAAATTTAGGCAGACAAAAAATATTATTTTGTTATTAATATTTATTATTATTAATTAATATTTTACTGTAAATAAAAATTTCACGTTTTACAAATTTCTTCCCTGTCAAAAAATGTTCCAGTAGAAAGAAAGATAATTTATTGATGCATAAGCATTTATTAATTTATTGATGATGCATAAGCATTTATTTTAAACAATTTCAGAATGTTTGTGTTTTCTTTTTTATTAAAAAGACTATTTGATTTTGTGGAAGATTTTTAAATCTTGTTGCTAAATTAAAATGCAGTATTTACACAAATAAAGCATAAGAAGTATAGAAAAGTAAATCATCATTTAAATATTAAAATATACATTTTAATTCATCTAATACAATAAACATTCATATCATTTAAATTATAAAATATGAATTTTTAAAGTTCATTTTAATTCCTTCTGCAATATCAACTTACTATATAAAAAAAAAAGAATACTTTCTGTTACATTAAATGTAATACATGCAAATGTGCTTATTAATTAGTTTGAATTCTGTAAGTTTATAAATGAGACCTTAAATTTAGTTTTATAAATTATTACTAAGTCAAAATAGTTTTATATTATTTTTACCACGCTTGCTAGTTTATTCAACAATTGTGTAAAATCAATTTTTTTCTTCCTTGTTAAAGAAAAAATTATCAAAAAATTTTAAAAATATACAAATTTTGCTTTTTAAAAATATTTTGAAATAATTATTGTAATTAAAAAGTGCTATAATTTTAAGGAAAATTTTTTAAAAAAAAAGTGTCCTGAGGAAAATTAATGCTTGGAGATTTTTTTGCACCCCTGCTATTTTCTTGAAAAAAAAAGTTCTATAAAAAAATTATAAGTTCAGTAAAAAATTAATAAGCATGAAGTGAACATAAAGTTCAATAAAAAATAAAGGGGGTATCTATTCAAAAAAAAATTTTTGCCCTCAACCTCTCCCACCAAAGGTGAGACTGAGGGTTGAACTTGTTTACACTAAATGCTTCTTTTGAGACTATTTTACGTATTTATTTTCCGAATATTAATGTGAATAGTTAAGATTTTTTACTTCTTGCCGCCATCCTGTGTAATTTTGTAATAATGACTTTAATTGTCGATATGTGTTTGTTGGATTGTTACATCAATTTACGTTCTGTATGTTTATTTTACAGGAGAACAGTTCCGAATGTGGTGCTGTGGGTACTTTAGCTTTACCTCATTTAGCTCTACTAATCGAATTGATAAGTTTATTGCTCGTCACAAAATTACTTTACAGTGAAGAGGGTTTTTTGTATGCACACTGAATAAAATAGGAAAAGAAATTGAAGTGTTCCACCAAAAGTCCTCTACCTAATCTTGTATGTGTATATACAAAGTGCATGAGAACAAAGCTGGGTTGTGATTAAAAAACCTAATGAAAACAAGTTCATTATTATGTATAATTATAGTTTTTATCTATTTTATGTGTTACTTGAAGAATTTTTTTTTCTATATTTATATGGTATTTGATTTTATTGAGTTCTTATATATGTGCAATTGTGTTTTTTTTATGCAATGTTAATTTTATTGCATTTAATTTATATACAATTTGACTTTATTCGTTTCTTATTTCTGCGCAATTCAGATTTATCCATTTCTTACTTATATGAGTTTTGAATATATTCTTTTCTTATTTATGCGTGATTTGTATTTAATCCCTTTATTACATTATGTAAACTTAGCATTTATTGTAAATTAATACATTTTCTTGCATTTATTTCTTAAGGTATAAAAACTGAAGTAGTAAGAATTGAGTATTTTTTTAATATTTCTCTTTTATTTATTTATTTTATAATTTTTCATTTAATATTTTCTGAGACATTTATATGTATATATATATATGAAAACATATATGTATGATAATACATAAATATACACATACATGATAAATATAGGTGCACTAAAACAATCTCCTTATCAAAGTGAAACTGATAATTACCGTAGTTCCGAATTCAGACTGAATAGGAAGCAGTTTATTCAGTTTTTCTTTGTGATATGCTGGTCCTATTCGGCACAGGATTTCCATTATTTTTTTCCACATATGTCTGTTTTTATTTAAGTTGTTTGGCCCCGCCAACTCGATCAGTTTTCTCGCAATTTTGCAGGAACAACAAAATACATCTATCATTATTGTGTTTCATAGTTCTTATATTAGTTTTCATTATTTAAAAAATATATATATTTTTTAGTTCTTTTAAAAATTTAGAATGGGCAGATTTTAACTTGAACCGTGCATTTTTATTCTANTTTGGCCCCGCTAGCTCGATCAGTTTTCTCGCAATTTTGCAGGAACAACAAAATACATCTATCATTATTGTGTTTCATAGTTCTTATATTAGTTTTCATTATTTAAAAAAAAAATATTTTTTAGTTCTTTTGAAAATTTAAAATGGGCAGATTTTAACTCGAACCGTGCATTTTTATTCTAATTTAAATAAAAAAATGTTTTCTGTCTTTTTTTTTAAAAAAAAAAGCTACATTCATTTAAGAAAATGAACAATGAAAAATGTTTTTATTTATTTTCTTTATGTATACATACTTATATACATACATTTATGTTGCTGGAAGTCTAAATTGTGATGTTCATTCACCGGCAGTGTTAAAATTCACATAGTCACATTTGTGAATGTCCAAAATATTTGTTACATACGATGTTTGTTACATATGATACATATTAATTTATTTTATATTGATATCCAATTGCAAAAGATCATACAAAATCATCAATATGAGGTATACTGTGTAAGTTCATACTGGGCTATGGCTCTTAACTTTATAAAAACACCATTGTAAGAAATAAGGGACAATGGCCCACACACTTTAGTTGGTTAATTTGATTATTATTTATAATAACCATATCTTTTGATTAATTTTATGAAAATTTTACATTACTTGATATTCCCTACACTGATGTTTTTATAAGATTAAGGGTCATTGCTCAGTTTACACAAATAAATAATCATGTAACAAACATTCCAGACATTCAAAGCAACTGTGTGAATGTGTTAATATTTACTAAAAATTAATGACATTCATTAATATCAGTTTGGGCAGGAATTTTTATTTTATTTTCCTAATATTTTAGGTATTTTTCGGTTCCGAAGTAATGTATAAAGTCTAAAGTAAAATTTAAGATTTTTGAGATTGGGAACAAGTTAATTATGATGAGATACTAAAACAAAGAACTGTGCAAAGTTAGTTTTTAGGAAGTGAACTGATCTTGTCTGGTTTTGTAGCCTACACGTAATTAGTTTTAACAAAAACATCCATTTGAAAAAAAAATAATATTTTTTTATTATATTTATGAAAATGAAGAAGCGTTTAAACAATTTTTCAGTTATTAGAAAAATAATGTAAATAAGTGATATATTGAAAATGGTGTTGGATTAAAAAATTAATAAATTCTGTGGCAGAATAAGGCCTGCTTAACTGCTTTTTGTAATGATATTTGCACGTTTTTAGATTCAATTTTGCAAACTATGAAACTCTCATTGAAGGAGAGGTATTTAGGCTGCATAAATCTCTTCTTCGCACTCTGTACTTAAATTTTGCTGTCAATAGTGTGAGCTTTACAGAAGATGTGGCCTAGCTGTAACTAAAAAAATGAATTTCTGTGATTTTTTTTCTTTATTTATTAGATTCTATTGATATATTTTTAGTTATATTAGATTCTATTGATTTATTTTTAGTTAAATATTTTTATTTACTGTAAATATTTCAAAACACCTGTATTTAATGTGATACTACCTTTGTCCTTCAGTAATTGTCAGATACATTTTGCAATAAATTCATTTGATTTTTTGATATAAGGATTGTGTTAATTAATCTTCTGTATTATAGTTATTCTTTAATAAAATTCAGGAAAACTTGTAGATTAAAAATTCATATGGTTTGCCCTGAACTGTGAATTCAATTGTCTGGCTTCGGACTTTACTGAAAGCTTGACTACTACTCCAATGTGTACATCATTAAGCTTTTGACTGAACCCCAAGAAAGTACTTTGAATATTATTAATCAGTAATTGCTAATTTATAATTATATATTTCTGTTTTTTATGTTCAATTCTAGATATATTTTCTTTTTGTAGATGAAATAAATTTTAAAAAGTATTTTAATGCAAGATATTGAATCTTAGAGAAGTTAGATATCAAATTTTTTGCCAGCACGCTCCTGCGTATCTAAATATTTTATGACAATAAGATTCTTTAATGAATATTTATAAACTAAGAAACTATTACAGATGATATATATAATTTGCATATTTTTAAATTAACTATGCAACTTAATTAAATAAAGTTGCTTTTGAAATAAATGAAGATAATTATTTAGGGATAAAGGAAGTATTTTATTTGACAATTTATTTAATGTAAATATTAAAAAAAGTTTTTTTGTTTTGGATTGAATTTATATTACAGACATATTAAGCTATAAATAGCATCTGTAAACTAGCTGTATAATAGCTTTGGTGTAATAATCCACACTCAAGTTAAATATGTTATAACATTATGTGCTTATAGTTTCTCTAATCTTCTGAAACAATTAATTTTGTGCTGTTTAAATTCCTTATTAGTAAATTATCTTTAATGTAATAAACAGTGCCAAAGGTAAAATATAATTGTTAAAATTATTGGCATCCATTTTCAAGTGTAAATAAAGAATTATATATGCACAGATAATATTTGAAACAAGCAACACTCTAAGTGGGTAATATTTTTAATAGTTATTCTGAGAATATTTATTTAAAGTAAAATTTAATTTTGTTTAAAGCTGAAATTTGCTGGAATGGAATCTATAAGAGTGTTGTTAATGAAATTTTTTAACTCAATGTTGCTTCTTATACTAGTGGAGTGCATGAGCTTATTGTTGCATGAAGTTGTATGTTTCTCATATTTATATGAACCGCCTGGTGCATTGTAATATAGCTTAGATATTACAATTGACTGATTTCATTTTATTGAAAGGAACCCCCACAGGATTTACTCCTTTAAGGCACAAAAGACTTTTTGATGCTTAAGATGGTATTATAAGCTCCAGTTTAATTTTTATCTGAAATTTTAGTCCTGATTCCTACGCCTCTTTAATATAGGGAATTTTAAATGGAATTTTCCCTTTCTGTATTTATTTTCCAATATATAATGTTGAAAATCTTGTCTATTATGCAGGAAAGCAAGCAGGTCCAATAGCAAAAAGTTAAAGATCAAAAAATGAGTATTAAGTAAACAAATGTTTAAATGTAGTGCTTACTGACTATGGATGACAAATTAAGCCCTAGACTGTAACTTTAAAATCTCTTGAATAAGATCTAGCTAACAATATGTTCACTGTAGTACTTGAACCAGCTGTAAATTGAACATTAGTGTTATTTTTAATCCTATGAATAAGACATAGCAAAACATTGGTTCAATATGGTGCCTACTGACAAATGACATCAAATTGAGCTCTAGAGTGTTAATTTTAAATCTCCCAAATAAGATCTAGCAAATAATGTGTTCAATGTTGTATTCGAAACAGTTGTAAGGATAACAAATTGAGGTCTAGATGGTTAGTTTTTAATCCTATGAATATGAGACCCAGCAAAACACTGGTTCAGCACATAGTGCTTACTGTCTAGGGATAACACTTCAAGCTCTAGAGGTTCAATTTTTAATCTACTTAAAAGACCTAGCAAAAAAACTGGTTTAATGTAGTACTTTCTTTCTAAGGATAACAAATTGAGCACTAGGGAGTTGATTTTTAGGCTTTCTGAATAGGATCTAGCAAACAACTGGTTCAATGTAATGCTTTCTGACTAAGTGCATTAAATTGAGCACTAAAGGATAAGTTTTAAATTTCCTGAAAAGTTAAAAGGAAAAAAAGCTAAGCAAACTGGTTCAATGTGCTGCTTACTGGCTAAAAGTTAACCAGTGAGCATTAGAGGAAATCCCATTAATAAGACTTAGAATATAACTGGTTCAGTGTAGTGCTTACTGACTAAGGATTATTATAATTGAGCACTAGGGTTGATTTTTAATCCCCTGAATGAAACCTTGCAAGTAAATGGTTCAATAAACCAGTTCTATTAAAGTTACAAATAGAGCACTTATAGGTTAATATTTTTGCTCTTAAGAAAAGACATTTGCATAGTTACGAAGTTTAGTTTTAAAATTACACTTTAGTTAAATTTATTTTTATTTTAATAATTCTTTTACAATTTTATAGCATTAAAACTTTATTAATATACAAACATTTAACGGATGGTGTCACTATAAAGATACTAATTATAAAATATAATTAATATTAACTGCTGATTTCATTTTTGTCAAAGTATATCTTGTTCCGTAAGTGCTTTGCATAACTGCTCAATTAGCTGAAAGTATTTTACAAAAAATAGATTAATCTTATTCAAAACAGAATTTTCTTGATTATAATTCTATTTCAAGTAAAAATTATTTTTTATACATCAAGAATTTAATTTTCTGAATTTAATATTTTAGCTTTCTAAGTAAATTACTACAAAAATGAATTAAAAATGTATTTAAAGCAGCACAATCATTTTTTAAATATGTTTAAAAGGATAACGTAATGTGATTATTGTAGTGTAAATGCTATCTTTTACTATGAAGGGTTTTCAATGTATTAAATGATGAAGATATTGCAAAGTGCATGTTTTTTATTTTTCACCTATTAGAATTCCTTTGTTTACCAAATTTCAACTTTGCTTGAGCCTTGCAAATTCTTCCTAACACTATATTTTGCAACTTCTAATTGCTGCTTTCGAATCATAAGAGTATGAGTTTGCGTAGTTTATTAGTACTAGTACTTAACATCTATTAATCCATGTGAAAAAAAAAAATTTTACAGAAATGATGTAGAATGAGTGAGAAAATGTTAGTGTTAACATTATAAGATTGATGTGTAATAAATGACTGAAGTTTTGACTAATGCTCATTTGACAGTCAAACCTGCTTCATAAGCCAAATATATTTTACTTCTTCCATAAAACTGAATCATATTAGAATTTTTTTTTCTTAAATAGATGTAATTAATTTTATTTTTTGAGCCAAAAAATAATTATTTTATGACAATCTTTTAAACTAACTATTTCAAGGAACAACTTTTTTTTTTTTTCTTAAGGATTTAAAGAATTTTGTTAAACATTTTTATATTGTATAGAATTAAATATCTTATTAAATTTTAATTATCACTAAAAAAAACTATGTATAATTAAAAGTTTTATTTCAATTACATTGCAATCTATACTTTTTG